CACTCTGAAGCAGGCTGACGGGAGATAGCAGGGCCTGCCAGCCCCAAGGCTGGGGGATTGCCAAGTGGACCACTGGGTTGACAGGCTGGCATCCTGCTTGTTACTTCTTTATCTTTGGGGAGACAGGATGTGGGGAAGGAAGGGAGGATCTATTCACCTTCACTGCTTTGGGATATCCCCAAACCTGTTCTGACGTCACGAGTGTCAAATGTGTCCCCCACTTCCCTAGAAGTTATGAACACTACACACAGTTCAATAAAGTGAATGGACCTTGCTGAGTCTCTGCAGCCCCACCCCTCCCCAACCACTGGCAGCCAGCCTTGTGATTAAAGAGAATTTAATGAAATTTTCACAAGGCTGCCCAACCTCGCATGAAGTTTTCTGAGGCCAAACCAGATCCCATTCCAAGGCCGTGGGACTTCTGTTTGTCACCTGGGGTCCAGGGAACCTCAGGGACTACTTGGGCCAGAATTGAGCCAGGGTTGCAATTGCAGGTTGGCTGAGAACTTCTGGGTCCAACTGGAAAACCTGGCGATTGACAGCTGGTGCCGGAGGCTGGTCCACGTGGGATGGCTCCTGCAGGCTCAGCCTGGAGTGTGGATGTGGCCCAGGCTCTGACCTGCTCCAGAACCTCTTATGGGAGTGTGTCCATTGGCCTAGTTCTCCTTGGTGCTTCCTGCTCAGTCCGCACAGCCAGGAGTGGAAAGGGATTTTGGAGCCTGTGTACAACGGAGGGAGGGTCACGGCAGGCATAGGGCAGGGCCTGCACTCAGGTCTTCTCACCCAGGGGTTAAGCTCACCCAGTACTTCAGGTAGGACAGATACGTGTCCCAGCCCAGTGTCAACCCGTTGATGTAGGTGACTCGGAAATGGGGCGGAATGAAGAGGAAGTTCACGAGCTGAGCAGCAGGCCAGACGCACCAATCAGCCTGCGGGAAGGCAGGGGCTGCAGTGAGCAGGCTAGGAAGGTGGGTCTGCGAGGCCGCAGGGGGTGGGGCTACGGTAAGGGCAGCATGGGCACGCCCACCTTGTAGAAGTCCCAGAATTTGGCCCGCAGCTCCTGGCAGCTCTCCTCCAGCGTCTGGCCCTCCAGGCTGCCAAGGCCTGGGAAGAAGACCAAGCGGTGAAAGTGAAGGCTGAGGTGGCTGCTAGGCAACGGAAGCGGCAGTGCTGGCTGTGGGAGTGACCCGGGCAGAGAAGCAAGGCCGGTCAGGGCAACCGTGAGGCTGGTGTCAGTCCAGTCTCCGCCCTCACCCTGCCCCTCCAGGGTTCATTCTCCACAGGTCGGCTGACTGCAGCTTTGCGTCCAAGCTGCTCCTAAGTCCCTCAGACCCCGGCCTTGCCACCCCACCTCTCCCCACTGGTCCCCTAGCCCCTTTTCCTCACATGGGATCTGTCCCATCCCACACGATCCTGTTCCCATTCCAGGGACACTCTCCCAACAGGTGCCTACAAAGTGCAAGGTGGTTGGGAGGCCGAGGCGCCGGGGCTGCACAGTGAGGCCTTCACTGTCAGCTTGATTCAGCCTAGAATCAGACGAGAGTCTCCAGGGACGACCTGCATGGTGGCCTGTGCTATCTCTGTATAGACTTCAGTTAACTGATGTGGGAAAACATTGCCGAGGCACAGGGTCCTGGACTGGAAAGAGAAGCTGAGCACAAGCGAGCGGGCATGCAATTCTCTCTCACCCTGGATGTGACCTAACTAGCACTGGGAGGCAGAGGCAGGCAGATCTCTGAGTTCGAGGCCAGCCTGATCTACAGAGTCGAGTCCCAGGACGGCCAAGGCCACATAGATAGAGAAACCCTGTCTCGAAAAACCAAAATAAATAATAGATGAAAAATCAAGGAAAAAGAACAACCCCCATCAGCATTCCTCCAAGCACGAACCAGCCTCTACCCACCGCGGGCTCTAAGACCACAGTCCCCGCCGCTGCTTACCCAGGAAGTACCAGACGCCCAGTATGGGAGATGCCACCACCTGATCCACCAGGACCTTCTTCATCACGCTCGGGAGGCTTCGCAGGCCCGAGGCTGGGAGGAGGCGGTCCAACCACAGGTACCAGAAGTGCAGGAAGGGGCCCATGCTGCAGCCCACCGCGAACATGCTGGCTGGGGGCACAGAGAGTCAGGCGCACCCTCCTGGCTGCCGCCCGGCCCCCAACGGGACGACAGGTCCCGCTCACCTGAGCGCCGCGCGCTGAACCGCTGTCCCGGCCGCGCGCGCACCTCCCAGGCCTGCCGCGCGCCGTCGCCCGCGGCCATGAGCGTGCCGCAGCCCAGCGTGTTGGTGACGAGCAGCGCGCGGCCCCGGAACAGCGGCCGCCCCGCAGCCAGCGCCCTCCGAGCCCAACGCCAGCCGCCGGAAGCCATCGCCGCGCTCACGACCGAGCCTCTGCCGCCGCCACTGGAGCCTCCGGGGCTCGCGCGCCGGCCCCGCCCCCTGCGCGCACCAATCACACGCTTCGACGCCGACCCCGCCGCCCAATCGGATGCCGTGCCTCAGAACCGCCCTGCTCGGCACGGACCAATAAGAAGCCGGAATTACCGCCTCTCGGCTGCGTTAACCATTCGCCAACAAGCCTCGCGCCGCGTCACCGCGGGGAACACGGAAGTCCTCCGCAGCGCACAGCCGACTAGCGGACGTCCGCTGGCCAATGGCAGCGTACCTGGACCGAACAGACCAATTGTGTGTCCTGCGCCTCCGGCTGGACAGGGGCGGGAATGGACGTCAAAGCCTCCGGGGGCGGGGCGGGCCGCTGTGGAGCTTGACCTTGGCGTGACCTCTGCAGTCCGGGGACGCAGCGGTCTTGAAGAAGGTGCCCGGGCACAGTGCGTGGACACCGGTCTAACCCCAGTTGTTGCAAACCTGTTGCCACGTAGCCCAGGCTGGCCTTGAACTACTGCCCCCACGGCCGTGCCCTGTGCCTGGGTTTTGAAGACTGAGCAGTTCATTCAGCAGAAGACTAATCATGTATCTCTTCTCCACAACTTTGTGTCCCTGCGGAAACATCCTTTCCTCCTTTATTCTTTGTTTTTAACTGTTCCACAAACCATCATGCTGTTCTCTAGCTCCCGATTATCCCTAACCCTGGACCCTTTTCCCCTGGATGAAGTCTCTGCTCCATCCTGGGACTTGTAGTCCGTGTGTGAAAGGCTAGAAACATGAATTGTGTTCTGGCTAAGGTGTTGGACTCTGGCGTCCAAACACCGAGAAGGAGTCGCCCCCAGAGACCACACACCACAGCCGATGCAAAAGCATGAGGATTTTATTAATTCTGTCATGACAGGGTCCCCCAGCATTCGGGAAGCCAAGGGACCTCGAATAGCGGGTGCAGTCTACTTTTAAAGGGGCCACAGAAGCAAGGGGGGTTGTTCTTTGACTATTCTGATTGGCTTATTTGAAAGGGCTATTACCAATAATTGACTGGAGAGCTGTTGCCAGATCAGATGAGGTAAGAGGTCATTTT